GTAATTTTCACTGCTCCATTAGCTAATCAATCAGAATTTGTCTGTTGCAAATGCTACAGTATTTCCTTTATATGCAAAAGGCACATCATCTCCGATTCCATCATTGCTGTAGATTACAGATGAAACGAATTCTCTCTTTTTTTTTTACGTCCCTAGCACCGCATCGGTGTTCTATTGCTAGTAAACATTCGATTCCGTTTTCACTCACGTTTCTACACTGATACAAACGGTAACATTGATCGAGTTAAAATTGGATAGCAAATACAACGTAGGTACCAGGCGATAGGACAAAGCACAGATGAGAGAAAAGAAAAAAATTGTGGAAATTGGACCACTAGCGTCACAGTGTACGATAGCAATTATGCGAAACATCTCCCCAGGACACGACTACGCATTACAGTCTGGATATAATTCTGATTGTGAGTTGGATGGCGAGAGAATGCCGACCGAAAGAAGGCGACGCCAGCGTATGTGAGATTGGACAAAGCGCAGAGATTGCTTGGTCGTTGCATTCGATTAAAAGAGACATCATTTCACGAAGTCTCAGTTTCTATAAAACTTCCATTATGTGTTTCACTTTTGTGCAGTCAAACGTAAATGATCTAAGATTGTTTTTCTGAGAATAATTTTCATTGTAAATTTCTAAATAACAACTTGAAGAGAATATAAAGAAGAGATTTATATTTCTTCTTTCATGTTGTGTATGCTTATAAATTGACATCAAATATTAAAATTGTGTCCAACACACAATCTCTACACTCCAAAAATCAACAAATTACAATATTGAAGTCAACTAAATTTGAAAATACGAAGAACACTTTGCAAAATCTGAAAAACGTGTTGCAAATTGAAACTATTAATAACATTACTCGCGAGAGTGCATTCTCTGATTTGATATCGAGAGGATTTTACTTTTCCACGAAAAGTCGAATGCAATTTTAACTATGGTAGAACGCTTTTAGGCACATATGGTCACGAAATGGCCACATTTTCAAAAGATGGAATTTCTATACGGAAATGCAATTAGAGTTTTAATCAAAGGACGCATATATCAGCAAATGTTACTTCGTTCTTGTTCTTTAGTATGAGTACTCACTGAAACTTTATTGTCAGACAAAATAAAATTATGCTTTAATAGTACTGTACTTATTATATATATATTATTCTGAAGAACAAAATATATATAATATGACATCATTCTTAAAAAAAAATAATTATTACATTTTATATATCTTGATAATTAATAATATAAAATATTGTATTATATTTAGTTTTAATTAAAAGCTATGAACTTCGGTAATATAACGACAATTAACTTTTCCTTTTCCACAAGAAACATTTTGTTCTAGAAAATATTACAATGCAAACTTTCAACTCCGAAGATAAATAAATATCAATCAAATTTCTTAAAATTTTCACGCAACATAAAAAAATCTTCCCTTATCTTAAATTATTCTAATATTTTCACGACTAAATTATGCAGTATCTCATTTTTTATTTCCTTAAGTATAACATTTAATTTTATGCCTTGCTCAATAATTGTAATGTAATGCATAAATGCGATACGTGCTTAACCCATTTTAAAATCGCGTACTGATTTGAAATAGTATGCAGAAAATGGGGGAAAAATTAAAAACTGTGCAATGTAGAGCGGTCGAAAATACATATTTATGGCAACAAGATGTTAAGAGAACAAAAGAGGCGCCGTGGTTGTAAAACAAATCATGCACCACGTCCACAACAAGATGTGTTAAAATTTATGGTGCGCCTATGACATGCGCAAACTTCTCTGTAGAGGAACAATTTGTCAAGAACTGATTACACGGGTTCCATATTTTCATGTACTTTTATTTTAAACACGAATATAAATCACCATAAAAAGCAACAGAGTTTTGATCGAGATTGGAAAAGATAAAACTGACCATATATATATATATATATATATATATATATATATATATATATATATATATATATATATATATATATATATACATACATACATATTAATATGCACATTCATATTATATATAAACTAACCTGTCTACTATGTAAACTGTTGAGATTAAAAATAAAATTAGAACGATTTATAAATTCCTGCATATTATTATTGGTGCATTTTATAATATGCACTTTAAAATTGTAATATATTATAATGAAATAAATGTAACGTATTTCAATAATGAATGCTGAATGCAATAATAAAATCAGATTATAAATTTATAACACTTCTATTTGGATTTGAGAGGTAACAATATGCATGATTACCGATAACGTAAATTTATTCGCAAATGTTAATTTATCGAACTTATTGTTCTTTTGTAATAAAATGGTATAAATTCTATAACTGGTCACGTCTACAGTACACATTATACGTCTAAAATTTAAATTGTTTTAATCCATCTTTATAGATAACAATTATATTCCGCTTTACATTTATCTTTGACCTAATAATCTTTTCATTACATTAAATGTGTAACGTATCTATACGTAACGTAACAATTCTATTTTTATCTGATCAGAAAAAATTTTATTTATTTTTGCTTAATAATTGTACAATAACGAGCAGTGCGTTATATGTACATTATAAATAATGATTAATGAATCATTTTAAACATACAAAAGCGCTATTGTTTTAGAAAGAAATTAAAGTCTATTCGATAAATTTAATCATAAAATCGAAAAACTTGAAAAACTTAATAGGAGTGTTAGAATTCTAGTTTCACAAAATTATATTTTTTCTCATAAATTTAAAAAATGTGAAAATATCATCTTTTAATAGATAATCCATGAAGTGAATAATTAGGTACTTGTTTTAAATTAGGAAAAGTCACAAAAAGTGCACAACGATCGAAGAATCTAAATATATCGTTAATCGAAGACTCCAAATATAAGCTAGCATGAAACCTACATATATACTCAACCATTAAATCAATCAAAATACGATCTTTATCATGCAAATGTAGCTTTTTTATTCTATACTTAAGATTTAAATCGACTAAACATCATTATGACATATCAATAACATTAAAGATTAATATTCCGGAAAATTACCATATTATCTGTGCTTGTACACAAGCCGGAACTTGGTTACATATGCTATGCATTAGCTGAAATTGATTCATGCCTAACGGCAACAGTGTGTTAACCAATATTAAAATTTCAAATACTAGAGTAAAATTCTACAAATACCCATTATATTGGAACAATGCAATTAATGTAAAATTAATTCACATGTTTTTGCCCACTGATGTGACGTATAAGCGACATTTCGTGTTTCCTACTTTTTTGTTAATTGGGAAAATAGCTATATTACTGGATTCAGATTAAGATAAAAGGATTATGCGCGATCTACGGCTTTTCAAAGAGCTGAATGTTTGAATAATATGAATACGAAGCGAGTTAGTTGAGCGAACAAAGCTTGAAAGCGTAACGTCAGCAGTTTAATATTGAAGAGAATCAAAATTATTCAGTCAGAAAATAGATTATTATAATTTAGAATGCTCATACTTCTCACTTCTAACTTTATATCAAATCTAACACTACGTTTAATCTCTGATTAACGATTCTATGATTACTTTTGTTGTTAGCAATCAATTTAAAATTTATAGTTTAAAAAAGAAAGTTCAATATACGCGCTTCACTTTAAAAAATTCTATGAATTTTTCAATATACAGATTTGAAAAGTTTGATCTATGAATCAGTACATTTATAAACTTTTAAACAAATAAATGTATGCCAGTAATATGTCTGGTGATCTATTCTTAGAGAATTTCCAAAAATATTTTTGCCTTTTATTTCGATAAATTCATAACAAACGTATAATCAAAAAGGCATGCATATATAGTAACATATATTTATGGTAATCTAATAATTTAGTAATCTAATAATAAATGTCTAATAATTAGTAATTTGATAATTGACAACAATATACATATTCAGTAATTAGTTATAACTTACAAATTCAACAATTAGATCAGTGTTATTAATATTTAAATTCATCTATTGTTAAAATATGATCTTATTGACATTCTGAAACTGGATAATATGTGCATCTAGTTTAAGAAGCATAGATAAGCATTAAAAAAGCATAGATAAGCATTAAAAAAGCATAGATAAACTTATCGAAGGGGAAATGTAAGAGAGAGAGCAATTGTCTCAACGCAAAATAAAAGGCGTTGAGTAAAATGGTCTTTGCCACTTTTTTTCACATAAACGAGGATTTTAATTTCGCTAAAAATACATTGTTTAGTCTAGCGGGCAAAGAGTATTACAAGTTGTACGTTTTTTCGTTTCTACTTTTGTCACGCGATGTGCAAATGAACTTTTATTGTATAAAGATTCTCTTTACTATATAAATTTTTCAATCCGTACATTTTAGAATTGTGATAATATTGATATATCACTTAAAATTCTATTTCTGACGGAATATAATTATTTTCTCATATTTCTGATGTAAATATTGTTTTAAATTTCAAAATATTGTTTTAAATTTCAAAATATAATTAATATGCCCATCGTTATTATACAAAGCAACAGTTAATTATTGAATATGAATATGTAGTTGATAGTATAATTTATATTTTATCATTTTACCATAATATCAAAAATTCATAAATTAATAGAATAATAAATAAATTCTTATTATTTCAATGTATGCTGCTCTAAGTTTCATGTTATTAACATTGGTACCAAGCTCATCGTAAATGCAAATGTGATACGCAAGGAACGCATTCGGAAAGACGATGAATAGGGTGGTATTATTTTGCAAGAGAGGTACGAGAGATACAATACATAATTTCAAGAGATAAAGTCATTCCCAACGAAAGCAAATACGTCTTACAGAAGGTAAATATTTCATAATGCAATTTTACATTCTTGTTCTTATATTATTGGTTGTGGTTTAGATTGAGGCCTGAGGCAATGCGGAAATCATTTCAAACGCACGTATGCATCAATATCGAATGTCAGACTAGCAAGACAATGTAAGACAGACGTACCTGAGGTTAACGTATGCTCTGCGTGTAATATCTATCTGAAGGCTGAGGCTTCTGCTGTCCACGTGTCAATCTCTCCAGTTTCCCTGAGCCAAAGATAAAATTTAATTATTAAACGACGATTTTCGACAATTTTCAATTATTGCTACTTTTCACTAAATCCAAATAAATTGAATTGCTGGTGCACACTCTATTAGCGTCTTTTATATATAATTTCTGATTAGAACGTATAAACTTTATCACACTGTGATATGTGAATAGAAACTAACGAAGATGCACAAATACTCGATAATTTTTGTTTTTGCATTTTTATAAAGCTCGACTGTATAGCTATTTTTCTGCTTCTCTTTACATCTGTAATTCACTTTCTTCTTCACACAATAAATTATCAATATTTGCTTTTCTCTATTTTTTCTTCCGTATTAACTCTTTCGCTGCATACGATGTATATACACGTCGTCGAAAAGTAATCTCTCAGTTACGTAGTCTACGTTATTTATGTCAGTTACGTACATCTACGTTACGGAAAACCGCTCTTCACTTACGAACGCCGTACTTACACAGCGAATATATATAGAAATCAAATAAAATATATAACAATAATTAAAAAAATAAATAAATATAATAATAAATATGTAAAATAAATATGTGGAAATCAAATATCGAAATCAAATATCATGCCGCACACAGCGATCGCTTTTGAACTACACCGCAGCGAAAGAGTTAATGTATTATCGTATCATAAACATTCATAAACAATATTATAATAGAACAGTGTGTTTTTCACGTGTGTCATCTGGTCTGCATTACAGTTTCCACAATATTGAATTCATGAACCGTACATAACGATATTCGCGAAATCATCTGCGATTCAAATCAACGTATTTGTATTTGTGGTGCAAATTGCACTGAATCGATTAAAAAAACCGTATTATTTGAAACGTTGGTGAGTAGAATGTATAATTCGGTGCAGCGCGAAAACATCGTATCACTGGTGGAGAGATAGACCAATGCAATGATGGCGTCTGCGGTGAAAGGTGACAAATTCCGATCGGTTTCCGGGTGCATTCGCACGTATCTTCCGCGAAACAAATGTCGCACAGAGAAAAGGCAGACAAGCCGAAGTTTGTCTGTTCAACTTTTCGCCCTGGAGACTCGGCGTTTCTATATATTTTCGATATTGAATGTCGTTGGAGTTAGATTGGGGACCGTCAAGAAGAGCTTCAATGCTTATATCAGACTTTCGCGAAAGTTTGAGAAATTTGTCAAGAAGGATTAAGATAATGAAGGAATTATAAAGCTCATGTTTTCGATCTACTGCTAATAAGCTATTATCAATGCGTTTAAAGAATGAAATTCGGCCTTTCAAGCAAATTTTATTATCAAATTATAAGTAATCTTTATAAATGATTGTAGTAAATATTTAATAAAAATAACAAAATATTTTTTAAAAAGAAAATATCAGACAATCTAATTTATTCAATATAATATACATATAGTATATCATATTTTTTTAACATGTTTAGTGATTTACTTATTGCCGCACAAAAGTCAACATGTTACAAATTGCTAGATCTATATAATCTATTAAAAATTATATTACAATCAAATAAATATACATGCTTATTCACTAATGCATTATCTAATTTAAAAAATGGCACTATTCCTCGAAATAACTTAGATCGCTTTATACAAAGTGATCGTAATACGTTTACAAAGTTAAATGTTGTTGCTGAAATTTATTGACTTTATTCCTAACTTCAACATCGTCACGAAATCGGTCTTCCTGTGAGAAATTTCCTGTAAATTTTAAATGTAAAGTGCCGTAAAGACACATCGTGGAAATGTGTGCGCTTTTGCTAAGTTCTCCCAACGGATGGCCAGGTGAAAATATTTCGGGAATGAAATTTTATGTAAAATGCAAGACTGCCTCTTGAGCGTCGGAATTAAGCCCACGAGGGTAAATATTTATACCAGCCATGAACATTTTGTTTCTACAAACTTCCACGAACTTTTATCGAATTGAATCTCTAGGGCTTAATTTAGCGTGTTTATTGACTACGTTCTTTTCTCCCTTTATCCTGTATCCTTTTTGTTTTCAACAACTGTTACTTCATGTTATCGCTATTATGCTAGCTGAACAAAGCAATTGTTTATTGTCCAATATTGTTGTTCATGCGATATTGTTGAATAAAATAAAATGCCAAAATCGCTGCTTGAACGATAAATTTCCTTGTTGATACACTACAGTGTATAACTGATATGAAGTGCGCTATAAAAAAATATCAAAATTGTTTTGCAGAAATCTCTATATACTTTATTCGTATCACTCAATTATTTTTTGTAATAAATTTTATGGATATTTTATGGATAATTTTTATCTACTATTTATCAATTTTATATTACATTTATTAGTTAGAGATAATTTATTAGTTTATTAATTTATTAGTTAGAGATGCTATAATGAAAAACATTATATTTTTTATCTTCTTGCTTATTATGAAGAACAAATTAGAACTGAGTTAAGAAAAATTGGAAAACTAGATTGTAATTTAGATTATATAATCATTGCGCATAAACGAGAGACAGGAAAGGATTAAAATAATCTGATCATCAGTGGAACGAGATTATTCAAACTACATATAGGAAACTGTATTGCGCAATATATAAACGCACGACTCCAATAATCCCTCAGTATTGCTTAAGCTTTGGTTATATCTATGGCAGGCAATTAAATGTATGAGAACCTTACGTGGTGATGTGAATTGAACACGACATTTCTATTTGCATTTGGATGCCAACTATTAAGCTAGGATTAAGTCCGTGAACAAGTTTTCAAATGGAAAAATTTTTTCAAGACTCTGTTTACTCGTTGAGTATACATGCTGGACCGTTTAATTAAAATTTCTCAGTCCGGGAAACGAGATCTGGCACAACTAGCAATTCGGAAGTTAAATGGACGAGTGATTTCTGTGACCTATAAAATCCGATCTGAACTTCAGCCTATTTAATACCTCAACAAGGGCAGCTATACGAGAAATTGAATTTTTTCCACAAGAGAAAGATTATCACATTGCATCGCGCAAACATTGCAAAATTTTATTATCACAGAAAATCCGTCAATCTGTTACGAAAAAATTGCCCATTCTTCATTAAGAAATAAAATTATATTTTAAATATTTTTTCTTTACTGAAATTAATAACAATGGTTATTCGCAGATTTACAAAGAAATTAAAAATTTGACAGAGATAAAAAAATGTATTTACATATAATATTTACTTTTCTATTATTGTAACACGTTCAACAAAATTCACAACGGATATCTCATCAAGAAGAAATACGAGTAGGAACGCGATAACTGTTTCATGAACCGGTGCGTTTTCGCTTTTTATAACACTTCGAAGCCATTTCAAGCGAAAGCTTTTTCTCTCATCGCGTGAAACGGGTATCCTAGCTTCGGTTACCGCTTTCGAGATTTACTGCGGTATCCCACACGTGAGCCGCGTTTAGGTTCAATCCTTTCGGCCAACGTACGAGTAACAACGTTCTCTTTGCGTCACGAACGGATCTCCATGATGAACGAAGTGGGGATGGACGGTATCAAGTAACGTGACACGAGCTGGAGAGCGGAAACGATCTGCGCGGATATATAGCTCCCCGTACGGGCGTCAACGTCTACGCGAAAGCGCGGCTGGATGATCCTCACAAGAACGAAGGAACTAGAAAAAGAAAACGACGTAAGTTCCATCGTCGCCGGGCTTTCGCGGTGGATTTTCGAAGCGGAAAACTAAGGTGGAAAAGGCGCCGAGTTCGACGCAAGGGAAGCAAGAAAGTGAGCACGCATGAAAAATATAAAGAGAATAAAAGAATATTTGACGCGTGGTTTATTCTCCAAGGCTTTTGTTGTTATCGGAGAATTGCCATTAAGCTTTTCTAAAATTCGAAAATCTTTGAGTAACATAAGGGAAATATTAATAAAGATAGGGAAACATTTTAAGTGAAAAAAGTCTTAAAAATATTTTTGTTATTATTTTTATCTAACAATTTTTGCCTGTTCTTCGAAGTTACATTCTCATACAGCAAAATCGTTCTCATAAAACCGGTTTTAGAGAACGATTGCATTTGTGAAACTACGTAGTGAAACTATAAGAGAAAATTGTTTCGTAGAACCCGCTTAAGCAAAATTGCATCACATCGGCGATATTTATGATAGGGAATCCACTTTAGAAAAAATTCTCTATCCGCGCTGGACGCATTGGTCGAATCCTTTTGTGCATGCCGATACTTTTCGATAATCGAGAAACATTTCGGTCGCTTGAGACGCATTTCTTTGACGTGCAAACGCCATGGCTTGTAAATTCAACGTCTCGGTTTCAATTTCGCGACTTATTTATTCAAAGTGCATATATAGGTATATGTATATATATGTATATATATATGTATATATAATATATAAGCACACGAAGTATCGAAAAGAGAGAGAGACGAGTCGAGTGGTCGACAAAATTGAGTTTTGTCCAATGTTTGTGGACGAATTTGATTTTCATTCTACGGTGTTAATAGCCAGCTCGAACAAAGAGAGCGGACAGCAGAGGAAATTGGTCGGTAACGGTATTCAAATAGATGGAAAGCACTACGACTTTCATCGCCTTTTTCTCATCTAGTCTGCAATTTCCTAAATTAACGCTCGAAATCGCATAGCCGTGAGAGCTTTTTCGATTATAGTTTCGGGCAACATAGACTTCTAGTTTCGCGTATACATGTATAATTTTTTCATCGAGTTCAAAATTGCTAAGATTTTTAATGCTGAAATTTTTTGTCGTTATTATTATAAATAATATATTAAATATAGAAATGTTGAAGTTTGGAAATGCTTTTTTATGGCAATTAACAAATATATTTTTTATTAATTGCGTATTTCAATAAACAATACATAAATGATAATTTACTTATCTTCAAGTTGCTCCGCTGACGTTCAATGCTTTCTGAATCTCATTCTTCTCTCAGTGATCTATCGATAAGTACAATTGCATGAACGATTCTTTCGACATTTGCAGCAGAAGAGCAGACAATGAATGAAATTGA